GAAAGTGGGACGTCACTCATGAATACGTATACTATTTCAGTTACTCAACATGAATAAGTTCCAGAGATCTGTTGCACAACGTTATCTACAGGCTACTTAAAAATCTGTTCAAAGTATAGATCTCACAGTAACTGTTCTTACCACAATAAAAAAAATTTTTAAAGTACTCTCTTCTCACCTTTTTTGATAAGGGAATGATTTACAAACTGAAACTCACTTTCAAGTAAACATTTGTTAACATTTTACGCTCCGGCATAGATTATAAAATTCCTCATCAACAGAGAATAAAACTACCAAGTAAATCTTTTACAATAAATCAAATATCAAAAATGAAATTTTCTGCCTTTAAAAATCTTCCTGATTCTGAATTTTCAAGCAGGCTGCTACTGTTGGCCTGACCTCAGTTTGGTTTCCATTTCTGACCTGTGCTGTTCATCGTGGATTCTTCCATATTTTATTTCATGTGGAACTTACTGTCAAGGCCTAAAATTCAATAATGACTGAAAAAGTCCATCTGAACAAAATACAGTTTGTTCAGGGATTCAGTTTGGACACCAGAGGGCAGGAGAATCCCTGGAAGTGAAGGAATGGATCCTTGTCGTTGGGGAGTTTCCAGGCTGGCTGACGTTGTAATGACGTCATGGTAAGGCCAGGAGTTTAGGTTTGACTTTTTGTCACAGGAAGTACAGAACTCTGTCAAAACTAGAAAACAAAAGTGGCACATGGAGAGTCGTAGTGTTTATCTCCCTCGGTGATAATGTCAGCAGAAGGCCCAGTGGGAGCACAACTTAAGAAGCAACCTTGATGAGAACGTGAGTGGGAAATGTAAATGCAAAGGAGGTTTTTAAAATAATCTATTTTAAAAATTTTAAGTTCAGTGTAAAATGGTGTTCAGTGGAGATTCGGACATTTAGTAGAAAGCAAATTAAAGTAAGATGTGTGCCCCAGAATTACAAGAAAAGAAATGACAAGCACAAGAAGGTTTCAAAACTGCATTATTATTTGTGCAGAGAACACATCGACCCCTGGGGAAACAATGTGGGGTTCTGTTTGGTTATTCACTTTGATCTCATTGAAGGTAGAGTGGTGCAGAGATTTAAGAGCATTTGATTTGGAGTCAAGTAGAGTTAAATTTAATCCGTGTCTTACCACTTCAGAACAACAAGAAAGAACCCTACCTTTAACCAAAAGTGTAAAGCAAAAATAAACAACTTCTGATGGTAACTAGGATTGTCATTTTTATGTCTCTAAATTCTATAAAAAGGACATAATCTTCCTGATCAAAGAGAGTGCTGTTCTGCTGGAGTTTTTCTGGAGTCTCTTTCTGTCTCCATTAGCAATACTGGCCCGAGCTCGGGCTATGAATAAAAGTTTACAGATCTTTCTCGACTTACAGTGGGGTTACGTCCCAGTAGACCCATTCTAAGTTGAAAATATCGTAGGTCGAAAGTGCATTCACTACACCTAACTGGTCAACATGATAGCTTAGCCTAGCCAAACTTAACCATGCTAGGAACACTTACATTATTAGTCTATAGTTGGGCAAACTCCTCTAACACAAAGCCTGTTTTATAATAAACTGTTGAGTATCTCATGTAATGTGTTGAATACTGTACTAAAGTGAAAAGTACAATGATTTTAAGTGCATGGATTGTTTACCCTTGTGATGGTGTGGCCGACTAACAGCTACAGCTTGGTACCCTGCCCAGCTTCACCAGATTCTCGTACTACATATAACTAGCCCAGGAAAAGATCAAATTCAAAATTCTAGGTAGAGTTCCTACTGGCTATGTATTGCTTTCTCACCATCATAAAGTCAAAAAATCAGAAGTCAAAACTTCATCAGTTGGGGACCATCTCTAATAACAAGGCATAATTATCAAACCTTAGCTACAGATTTGAATGTGCTTACACATGTAAGAAAACATGGGAATTTCTTGAGAAATACTGATGTTTAGAAAGGATAAAGGAATAACTGTTAAATGACACTTTCTTATGCCTGATATTTTTCCTTTTCTAAATTTTTAAAAAGAAAAAAAAGGCTAAGTATCTCTGTGATAGTGTGGATCCAGTCTATTCCCTGGATAATTTCAAACTCCAAGAAAATATGTACAGTGTAAACACTGTATATTTTGAGTACTAAGGAGCAAAAACTGGTGTGTTTACTGTGATGAGGCGCTTCTTTTCTCATTGACGAAAAACTCTCCTCACTGACTCTTATGCATGACTCTTAGTAGGGAAAGGTCACCTATTCACATTTCAGAGAAGTGGCTGTGTTCTTATGAGGAGAGTACTGTGACACGTGATTTGTCTTTTTTTTTAAGATTTTATTTATTTATGAGAGAGAGAGAGAGAGGCAGCAGGGAGGAGCAAGGGACAAGCAGATTCCACACTGAGCGCAGAGTCTGACGGACCACTCAATCTCACAACCCTGAGATCATGACCTGAGCCAAAACCAAGAGTCAGATGCTTAACGGACTGTGACACCCAGGAACCCCGACACGTGATTCATCTTTAAGCCTCCCATGGCACTTCACAGCTCTTCAGGCAGGAGGAGGGAAATGGTGACAAGCCCCTCGGTGGCACCTCTAACCTACACTGTATTTGGAAAAAAGTAGGCAATCTGGAGGCATTGGCATGTGATCATTTCATGATCAGTTTCAATTTTTTAGTACAAGAATCAGCTACTACATATATGCATGTAAATTGTTTTCTGTAGGGGCGCCTGCACGGCTCAGCTGGTCAAGGGTCCCACTCTTGATTTTGGCTCAGGTCACGATCTCAGGGTCGTGAGATCGAGCCCTGCATGGAGCCTGCTTATGATTCTCTCCCTCTCCTTCTGCCCCTCCCCCCTAAAAAAACCCAATTTTCTGCAGTTAAAATGTAGATGGTTTCAGTCCCAAATTCTCCAGTAACGTCTAGATGACGGAAAATATTTTTTTTTAATGGCCTCAATGGTCATAGTATTTTTAAAAATAAACTCATGTAGAAGCAGCTCCAAATGTGATAAGTCCATGATACTTAACCCCATAATCCTAGTATGGTGAAATTTCCCCAACTAGAGTTCCCTCTGAATTTTAACTATCCTCCTCAAAAAAGCCCCAAATATATATAATGTAAGTTGAAATTCTACGTATATTCATTATATATATATGTACACTACAGTTCAGTATACACATATAGAATACATATTCAGTAAAAGGTATTCTATCAAAGGGGAGAATAAACATAAATTAACATAAAATAATTTTAACATAGATAATAGTACAAAGACTAAAGGCTTGGATTCTGCTTGGACTCTGCTGCCAGAGTATCTGGATTTAAAACGCAGGTGCACCACTCACTAGCTTTGTGACCTTGGGCAATTTACTGCACCTCTCTGTGCCGGGGATTGCTCACCTGTAAAATGGCATTAATAACAATAGCACTTGCTTCTTAGAATCATTATGAAGCTAAGATTTGTAAAACCTTTAGAAGATTACCTGCACGCCCTAACCTACACCTTACGTTACTGTTAAATAAATAAATAAGACAAATAAGTACAACTTTGATGTTCAAAGAAAATAAAAAAGTGAATCCTGTAAAGAAGTTGTGGTATATATACAATGGAATACTACTCAGCCATCAAAAAGAATGAAATCTTGCCATTCACAAGGACATGGATACAACTAGAGGGTATTTTGCTAAACGAAATAGGTTAATCAGAGAAAGACAAATACCATATGATTTCACTCATATGTGGAATTCAAGAAACAAAACAGATGAACAAAGGGGAGGGGAAGGAAAAATAAAATAAGATGAAAACAGAGAGGGAAGCAAACCATAAGAGACTCTTAACTATAGGAAACAAACTGAGGGTTGCTGGAGGGGAGGTAGGTGGGGGGATGGGGTAACTGGGTGATGTGCATTAAGGGCACTTAAGGTAATGCGGAGAAGGTGTTGTATACAACTGATGAATCACAAAATTCTACCTTTGAAACTAATAATACAGTATATGTTAATAAAATTGAATTTAAATAAAAAAATCTTTAAAAAGTGAATCCTGAAAATCATATTATTGGCATTTTTTTTTTCCATGAAAGTGTGATCACCTTATAATCAGTCCAGAAAACATACTTGAAACATATTTCTATTGAGGAGTTACGAAAGGGAAAATAGACATTGTTGTAAAGTGTGTTTCCCACATTTAATTAGGTTATGTAACAGGAAGATGAAAAGAGAATTCAGAAAGCCTGGCTACCAACTGTTTCCTGTTTAAGAACAAACATATGAAAAGAAAAAAATCAGTAGAATTGGATGGATTAAGTTAATAATTTTTCTCAGACATTTTGATGATTACTTTAGACCTCCTGGTAGAAATATTCATATTGAAACTTAAGTGAAAAAAAAGGCATTTATTAGGTCAATTAGCCCATCCTAAAATATTTAAATAACTTAAGCTGTTTTAATCACATCAAGAAAACAAAACAACACAAAAACTTTCTATTTAAAATGCAAATACAGATTTTACACAGCAAAGTGTTTTTTTTTTTTAACAGATGCAACATAATAAGGAAATAAATGAACCATTGTAACTGATGTAGTCATTGAAAAGTAGAAATGAGGACCTGAAGACTCTAGTTATATACAGAGCTGTACGTGGGAAATAAATATTTATTTGGCATTTTCATTTAACTTGGAATATTTGTCATTCTAGATATCAAATCATCTTGATGATTCTGTAGACTTACTGAAGATTGGCACTATATTTTCAGCAGAGCCTGCTCCTTATTATATAATCCATTGTTTCCTGTTAGTACTTAAAGCTCTTACTCAGAAGAAAAAAAAATGTCAAGTTCCAGGGAAGTATGGAAATGCTAATACATCACCGTGAATAAATAATAGGTATTTTAAAAACCACAGTATATGTTGCTGTGGTAAATAGCATAGTTTATTGTAATAGAATTAAGAAGAGGATATGGGCTTCAGAAAATAATTTGATTATGAAATTGGATACATACTGTGCCAGGTCGGGGATAAGGAATTCTTCCATCATACTGCACCCAACGATGGTCTGCACTTTCCTTATGAGCATATGGACCATTGAAAACTGCTCTGACGTCAGCCATGCTGTACACACAAACAGCTGAGCCTTTGAAGATGGAGCTGTAAAAAAGCAACATGATCCAATCATTCCCCGTACAGCAGTCACTGTATACTTATTTATTGAGCACATATTATATAACCAGGTGTGTGGACAAACTTGGGCAGCACATTCCATCCGATAGGTGCTGCAGACGAAATGTGTGGATGTCCTTAAGGAGCTTATAACCAAGTAATCCTGAAAAAGGTGTGATAGCAGTTACATTACAGATAATTACAGTAACAAGCGAAGCAAGCATGCAGATGGGTCCCCAGTACAGAGCTGTCTGGTAAGTTTTCAGAGAGTAGGTGGTGTCTACATTGACACCTGATGGATACATGGGAAATACCTAGAAAAACTGAAGGACAGAAGGAAATATGCAGAAAAGAGTATCAAATTTATATACATGCTTTTGAATTTTATTTAAAGTTCTTACAGCATAGTGCCTTCTAAAAAACTTATAAAAAAGTTACATTACCTATTTTTTTATAGAGGAACACTTTAGGTATATAAATAATAAATATCTCATTTAGGTTTTCTTTTTTTTTTTTTAAGATTTTATTTATTTATTTGACAGTGAGAGATAGCAAGAGTAGGAACACAAGCAGGGGGAGTGGGAGAGAGAGAAGCAGTCTTCCCACTGAGCAGGGAGCGTGATGTGGGGCTCGATCCCAGGACCCTGGGATCATGACCTAAGCTGAAGGCAGACGCTTAACAACTGAGCCACCCAGGCACCCCTCATTTAGGTTTTCTTAAAGTGAGTGAATGTCCATAAACATTGGCTATTAATAATTTCCTCAATTTTTATTAACTCAAAAAAAATGCTGAAATTCTTTTGTGCTTCTCCCCAAATTTTCGAATTTCTTCTTGAATTTATGTATGTAACCTATGTGATACTTAAAATTAATCTTAATTACACATGACTGGAGGACACATAATCAAGAAGCAGAAAAGTGCCATGGGAATTTCACAAGTTTTTGCAAATTAGTGGTGAAAACTGTTAACACTATCATCAGATGTTTCATTTTTTTTTTATTTCTGGAAAATAAAAGACATTTTCTCTGCATCTAAAATTTTCAATGATTTTTGTTCATAAAAACGAGATCACCCTTTATGATCTAAGAGACATATCATCTCAGCACTACACAAGTGAGCCAAGGATTCTCTAGCATGGGAAACTGAATCATTAATATTCTTGGAATGAGGGGAGCCTGGGTGGCACAGTCAGTTGGGTCTGCCTTAGGCTCAAGTCATGGTCCCAGAGTCCCGGCGTCCCAGGATCCAGCCCCACATCGAGCTCCCTGCTCAGCGGGGAGTCTGCTTCTCACCCTGCTCTCTTGCTCTCTCTCAATTTCTCTCTCAAATAAATAAATAAAATCTTAAAAAAATATAATCTTGGAATGACATTAATGGGAAGCAACGGGAGCTGATGACAAACAGGCAGCTGGAAGAAAACTCTGCTAAGAAGGGAGGTGATGCCCCCATAAAGATCACATCCTCTGCCTAGGATATTTTAAAGGAATGATACATCACGCTTTATGGTGTTTCTATTGTTGCAGATTAATTACATCTTCTTATTGGACAAAGGATGTGACACTGCTTCCCAGTATTACCTCAGTCCTTGGGGCGGCATTAAAAATAGAATAAATAAAGTACACCAAGAGCAAAGAGTTGACTTGTAACTTCACACTCTGGGTGGGCAGAGTACTTGGTAGGAGAAAAAAACATAACTATCTTGGGGCTGTATTTCCCTGGCACATGTCTATGCCTTGTGTTGGAACACACAGTGACTTCAAAGACAGTTCTGTGAATGGAAAGATGCCAAGAGAACTAGCTCTGAGATTTAACTTGAGTAACTACAGGCACTTGCTTTTCTTGCATCTTTTTAGTTAAGATATAAATTACCCGAAAAATGGGGTCCAAATAGCAGCATTCTTAGGGTATCTTCTTTATTTTCACTGTAAATATTCACATTCTCTATCTTACAATGAACCAAGGAGCATTTTGTTTTCTGATATCGTCCGAACCACACTATTTGTACAAGGTGTAAGGTGAACTGAATGAAGGTAATGCCACATAAAAGAAATTATAATTTGCCTACAGATTACTTTAATAATTTATTCAAAAGGAGGCAGTAAGACCATTTCTCTAATAGCAATACCAATACTGCCAATTCTTCCAATACTAATATCAATATAAACAACGGTGATAGCAGAGCTGTGGAAAAAGTAAAAAAGTAGTTCAAAGAAGGTGTTGCAGGGAGTAATATGTAACAGGAATAAAGCTGTCCCATGTTCAAATGTAAGTTTCTGAATTAAATGAAATTAATATTAGATAAAATTATGTAAGGTCCATATATTCTTTGAGAAAGCTTCATAGATGATAGGACAACTTTTAAGGAAGTCATGGAGTCTCGGTGACAAGTACAGGACACTATTACACAGAATGAAGACAAAATACAGGGGTGAAAATTAAGAAAACACCTTTGGTTCTAGTCCCATTTTTACTACAACTTGGCCCATCTTCTTGGCGCAAGTCATACAAACCTCCTTTGCTTAAGTTAGCAGAGCAATAATGATATGCTGGTAACAGCCAAACTCCCATCTTTGTAGGGTAATGGAAGGGTATCTAAGATTGTACATGATGACATTTTAGAAGTCAAGAGCGTCGCATCTTATGACTGCAACCTAAGCAATGACTAAGGCATGTATTTCTTTCATACTACTTCTATGTCATGCAGCTTAACCTATTTATTATGGTGAGTATATGCATACACCTTTGCATCCTGTAACTTTAGTCTGGGAATTTAACTCACAGAAGTACTTGCTTACTTGCTCACACAGAGAAATGGCCATATGTACGAGGTTAGTCGCTGAAGCATTATGCGTACCACCAAAGACCTGGAAACAATGGAGATGTTATGTATAGGAAACTGGCTAAATGAATTGTGGTAATTGATATAGGAGTACTCTGCTGGCATAAAAAGAACAAAGGACATTTTATGTCTTGATATTAAAAGAGTTCTAGGAAACACTATGTGAAAAAATAAAATGAAAAACGGGTATTTTTTTTTCACACAAAAGGAAGGGACAAAAAAACATATATTTCTTCTATAGAAGAATTACAAGTGTTGTTTTTGTTTTGTTTTGTTTTGTTTGTTTTTTAACTTACCTGGTTGTGGTAAAGACTCCATAGACTACAGGATTTCTTTCATCTCTTGTGGAGAGTAAGTAAATATCCTCTATTAATGGGAAAAAATAACAATTCAATATATTTTTATATTTCGGTATTACATATTTGCCTTTTCTTTAAGAAATACAGTAGTTCTGAGACACTAATAGTATATAAAATTAACAGTGAAAGTCGTTAATTATGACATAAGAAATTAAGGGTAAAAGACTGGTTTTCTCACGAGTCATGTGACACTGAACTGGATATCTAACCTTTCAGGTGTCTACTTCAATCACCTGTAAATGGGATGATTCACTTGATAATCTCCATGACTATTTCCAGTCAGAGGTATGTGATTTCTTACAGAATAGAAATTAAAAACATAGGGTGTTTTTACCTTCCAATGTAAAAAAAGTCTTGTCCTACAATTGTGTCAACTTACTAATAATTCAATTATCTATTTGCTAACAATATAAAAATAGCTACACAATTAATTACTTGTGCAGTATTACTTGTGTAACTTGCTCAGTATTTTGTAACTACTTGAGCAGTATTGACACCAAAGTATGTGTAAATGATATTCATTAAAAGATTATTTAAGATGTGAGCATGCTTATATACAACATGAGGAATCACCCATGAATATTGAATATATACTTTAAATACCGTATGGCAAAATCATTCAATGATAAAATCATTTTTACATTGCAAGGCAAAAACAAATTCGAAAGATAAGATTTGATGATGCTAACCTCATATTTAACTGAAAAAATTCCTTCTCGAATTAGCTTTGAGGGGGTAAAGAGGGGAAATGAAAGAGAATAATCCGTCTAACACTTTTCTGAGTATTCTTTTTCTTAACAAGTCGGAGGGAGCGAGTTCACCCAATCTCTCGTGCTCTCCAGCAGAGGGCAGTCTCGGAATAAAGAACCCAAGTTCTTGCTACCTATAGACAGTTACGCATGTTTAGAGTTAATTTCCAATTTGCATACTTTGTTTAGAATTTGGGAGAAATTTTTTGAAAGATAATTGTCAAATTATTGGAAATTTGTTATAATGGATAAGACACTGTCATATAAAATTCATATTCACCTCTTACATCAATTAGACACATTGTTGCACATGATTTGACTTACGTTAATTTTGTTTCAATAATTAAAACAATGGTAAAACTTAAAAAAAAGTAAAAGGCCACATGGAGAGTGGATGGGTTCTTGCTAGTAGCTTTTTGTCTCTTGCTGCAGCTTTGTTTCCTCATAACTATGAGGATGCTTACAAAGAGACGAATTGCTTCATTACAATGTGCTCTGAAACCTAGAGCACCTCCATGTTCTTTGTGTGTGTGAATTTAGTAATAACACTCCTGCAAGCTGTCCTGGGTATACTGGGGGCTAAAATAAAACAAATGCTGAATTTATTAGGCAGTAAGTAATTTTTAAGAAAAAAAGGAGCATGCGACTTACGAAGCTCATCAAAATGAGTATCTGCCCCATCATTTCCAGGAATGGAGCAAATCAATCTGGCTTTAAGAAAAGTCGTCCATTTGTTTATCAGGCTGCGTTGTCCTCCTACATCATTCTGGAAAAAAAAAAAAAAAAGGAAAATAACAAAGATACAGATTTAACGCAATTGTTTACAAAGACAGGAAACCTACATGTTTAAGGCCTTGAACTTTCAAATAAGGGAAAAGGCAGTTTGGTCCCTTAAGATTACATGCTTTTCTAATGCTTGAATGAACGCAATGTCTACAACATGGCTCTACTTAATGAGTAGATGCAGGCAGGGCTATCAAGTAAATGAGTGAGGCCTGGAATCAAATCTCACCTCTGTCACTTTTTTTTTTTTAAGATTTTATTTATTTATTTGAGAGAGAGAGAGAATGAGAGACAGAGAGCATGAGAGGGAGGAGGGTCAGAGGGAGAAGCAGACTCCCTGCTGAGCGGGGAGCCCGATGCGGGACTCGATCCAGGGACTCCAGGATCATGACCCGAGCCGAAGGCAGTCGCTTAACCGACTGAGCCACCCAGGTGCCCAACACCTCTGTCACTTTTTGCTCCATGGCCTACAAAATGCTATTTAACTCTCCAAGTCCCTGTTTCCTCATTGAAAAAAATACCACTAATGCCTTGAAATTGATTATTTTGATAATTAAATGGAAAAATTTGTGTGCAGCGCTTAGCACAGGGGCAGACAACTTACGTTCAATAAATACTAGCACTGACTTGTATATTATACACATGATGAAGATCGTGATTTACAGCCTTTAGAAATATGCTATAGACTTAAAAAAAAAAACAGTCTTTTTCCAAAATTAGTGCCCTACTAATTAAGCATTAAGGCAACATAAACATACATATAAAACCAATCTTGTTTTAAATGCTAATTGATGTTTTTCCATACTTTATTTGACTCTGAAATATTTCACTAAAATGTTCTTTAGACACTTACCAAAACACAGGCATTTAAATCAATTCAGTAAAATAAATTCAAAAACTCACCGTAAAAAGATCTGTTTCTTATTTTTAATTTAATATGTCCCTGTGAACACTAAATTCATACAATTTGTTATCTGACTGGACTAGATCAGCTATGTTTGTAATAAGTAAGATGAGATTGTTTCATGGCATAAATACTATAAGTACTTAAACCAAAATTTCAAAAATTACTTTTGGAGTTACTATTTCCATTAATGTACTTACATCTAAATGTAAATTATATGAAAATTTTTATCCTTCATGCAATCTATGTTTTATAAAATTAATAAAGAGTTCACTATCAAATACTAACTCTGAATATTTAGGAACTGTATTCCCTGTGCTTCTTTTATCTCTGAAAATTAAATGAAATTAGAGAAAAGTATCTAAATGACTTCTCCAAACAAGGGAATTCAAAGTCAGAGAAATAGCTGCTATTCTTCAAGAAAGGGGGGAGGAAGAAAGGGAAGGGGATGCAAGACAGAGATCCCTTTGAGTATTATCTTGAGTGATATGGAAACCCAAATTCCAGATGATATAATCTTAGTAACAGAGCAAAATATCAGAAGGCTATAGATTTGTAGGAAAGCTCAGAAGGCAATGAGGTCCATGCGACCAGGGACTGGAGCCATCTTTATAGCCTTAGCACCTAGCACCAGGGGAGTACCAGGGCACCCAGAGTGATGAATCCCATTTTATTTTGCTTTGCTTAAAGATTTATTTATTTATTTGAGAGACAGAGAGAGAGCATTGAGGGCAGGGACAGAGGGAGAGGGAGAGAGAGAGTCTCAAGCAGACTCCCCGCTGAGCACGGACCCAGACGCAGGGCTCGATGCCACGACCCTGAGATCATGACCTGAGTCAAAATCAAGAGTCGGACGCTTAAACAACTAAGCCACACAGGCACTGATGAATCCCATTTTATATCCCCCTCTGCTAAACACGAGAATACTTTTCAGTAATAGCTCTGTATACATAAGTAATCATTTTTATTTTCTTGATTTGTTCTTTAGGTTTATAACAATGTAAAAAGAAAAAAAATTGAAATTTAAAGACATTTACATTCAATAAAATATTTCATATATGAACTAAAATTTGCACTTGAACAAAATATCGCACCTCACAGTTTGCACTACATCTCGCTGTTTTAAATTTTAAATGATCCAGATCAATGTGCACTTAGTCTTGGAACACATGTGTAACTGAGTTCATGTGTGCTGGCAGATACAGAATATAAACTTCATGATAAGTACAGCAATTGTTTGGAAACTGGACCAACAAAAGACCTTTCTGGCAATAGTATTTTGACACTGATACTGTTTAGAATTGCTGACACATGGTGATAATACAAAGCAAAAAAACCATTTAGTTGATTTTCTCATAATTTTTCATTCTTCCCAGAAAATGCCCTCCCTATTCCTTTCATCCAACACCTACTGTATGTATGTCACTAATGCTCTGCTTATCAGGTGTTTAATTAGTACATTTTTGATTATTAGTAACTAAAAATACAAGATAAAATTGATAAATGCCCTTTGAAAGTATAGCTAAATGCCAAAGAATTTAAGTCTCCTCTGAAATGTCTTTGTAGTGGAAATAATGAGGACAGGCATTGCTGTAGAGTTAGATTCAATATTGTTCTTAAAACGAGAGGTGAGTTCAGACATGCAGAGACTGGAATACTCAGGAAATATTCTAGGTGCTAGAAATTAGGGGGAAAGGACAACAGGTGGAACACTTCAGAACATGTATGGAGAACCAGGACAAATTTGGTTTAGATGAAGACTGGGATAAATGAAAATAGTGGAGGAAAATGTTATAAAAGGAAATTTGAGTACAATCCAGGAAGGCTTTATTATCAGACCAAAGCATTTATATGTCATTTAGTAATACGTTATTTAGTATAAAGAATTACTACAAAGACGTGAAAGAAAATGAATACATGATATCTTTCATATACTAACCCTCTAGAAACAAATGTGTCTATAGTTGCTATAGAATTTATGTTTTGTATGTGGTGCTTCTATTGTTGCAGTATCATTGCTCAATAATAAAAATAATCAATATTTCAGCTAGCTATTGGATGATTAATGATGGCTGCAGCTGTGAAGACAGATTTATCTAGACATGACCTTTATTTTTACTGCTAACATCCTCAGATCATTCAATAAATATAAATCCAGATGTTAATATGAGTAGGCAAAAACACGGATACTTCCTTCTATTGATGATGAACTCTGTGCTAATGTTTAGTAGGATTCCAGTGAGAAAATATGTTATCTGGGATCACTCAAAAAGAAAGAGATTTTTAAATAAATTTAAAAATAAAAAGTAAGATATCTTCTCATCTTTCTCATGAACCCTGATTCACATATGTGTTCTTTTATATTATTATAGCAGAGCCTACTTGTACTAAGCCAAGCTCTAGTTAAAACCTTTTAATCTTAATGCACTCTTACATATTTATAATATTTAAAATTTTTCATTGCCCATATTCACATATTTTGAGTCAGCAATGAATACTAAAAATAATGTTGATTCAATATACATGAGGAAATACATCAGCTATTGTGAATTTAATGCCAGGAACTATGTTTGGTTTACTGCTTTACTCCTAGCAGTGTAGGTGCTTAAATTATTTTGTGAATTGAATAAACAGATATATCAAATATTTGCTCCACGACATTCCTTTAACAGGTGTATACATCACTACTTCATAAAAATTAGCGATCACCTTCCCTTTTAAACATTTTATGAGAAAAAATAACAATAAATGTCCCTTTTCAAACAGCATCCCCCTTTCTATTTGTGATTATCATCCATATTCAAGACAAACCATGAAACAATTCTAACTATTCTACTAGGTTCAAATTTGTTGGACAGGAAAGAGACTTACACTGTAGTCTGCGCATATATATATATATATTAACCTGACAAATGGAAATTATAATCCTTTGAACAAAAGAATCCTTAAATGTTCTTGCGAATCCATCAAGCAGCCTTTCCTGGCCCCTCAAGGAATAAAAAGATAAAAAACAAGCAAAAAAAAAAAAAAAATCCAGGTCAAAGATGAAAGCCACCTGCTGTCAGCAGGGAAAAGAGTATAATTTCTGGGATAATGGTTCTCAGGGATGGATTATAAGCATTTAATGACTGGATAGTAACTCTTACAGACATCCAGAAGCATGACCTGGCATGGCAAAGTTCAATTCACAAGAAGTTGTATTTCTCCTGTAGGTAAGTGTCAGTTGACTGACTGTTGACTGGCTCTCAGTCCCTGGATTTGTTTGCAAATCCACAAAATCCCCCCTGAGAACTTTAAGCCCAGAGGAGGGCTGAAAGGGAGATAACCATATTTGTACTAAATTGTCACCTCCTTGCTTATTTTTGTGAAGTTCTAAGGAACACAACTATCTCACTAACACAATAGATTTATTATTGAGATGTCAGAATCAGCAGCTTTTAGTCACCGGTCACTTCTATGCCTCCACTCTATCACAGCTTCTTTGTGGTCAGATTGCCAAAAGCCTTGACATTCTCTACACAAAGAAGCAGATGAAAGTAACAAAGAAATTAAATGTAAATAAGCCAGACTGTGTGGGTTCCATCTGGGTGGTGAACGCACAGGATGACTGTTTTTTTATTCTCTGTAGCTTTGTATATGTTTGTGATAGTTTTTAAATTTTAAAAACAGAAAAGACAAAAGACGAAACAAAGCACAATTTAGAATCTTTCAGCAGCTTTAAAATAAACTCTCTCTGAGTCAGGTGGTTGAGTGATGGCTGCATATTATGAAATAGTATGATTTCCACTCATAGGCTTCTAATGGGTAGATGAGTTGGAAGGTAGGTTAATGGGGATTCCATTTTGCTTCTACTGTCCCAGCAGATTCAAGTCCTTATAAATCTTACATAGACATGTAGAGTAGCTACAAACTGTCACACATGAACTTTTATTGATTATGTCTTTTGACCTTTGGGTCACTATGCTGGATTCATCTGCTAAACACAATTTTATCTGTACACATCGTCCTCTTCGAGGATCTCTTAGCACTTCATAAATACGGTCCTTTTCACCTATATCTTGGGAAACAGAAGCTCTTGG